CACCAGACGGCCGCAAAAGGCAGCCGAAAACAAAGACACCAGCTACTATCTCTTCCCTGGATGCAACTCAGGTCTTTGCACAGAGCTACAGATCCAGCCCTTATTATTTTTTATTTTGAGACAGCGTCTCACTAAACTACTAAGTTGTCCCAACTTGGCCAGAACCCGAGACCTTCCTGCTTCAGCCTCCCAGAGTGCTGGGATGACAGGTGTGCACTGCTGTACCCAACTAAACAAATTACATTTTTTAAAATAAAGACAAGAGGGGGCCAGGGAGATAGCTCAGTAGAATGGGTGCCTGCCTGGCAAGCACAGGGTCCTTAGTTCAATCCCCAGTACCATAAAAAAAAATAATAATAAATAATAATAAATAAAATCAAGACAAGAAAGGAGTATGCAAAGTCCAGCTGCAGCCGGGAGTGGTGGCCATGTCTGTAATCCCAGCACTGGGGAAGCTGAGGCAGAAGGATTGCTACAAGTTGGAGACCAGCCTAGGCTACATAATGAGTCCAGGGCCAGCCTCAACTATACAGCAAAATGCTGTGTCAAAAACAAAAAAACAAAACAAAACAAAAAAAGTCCCAGCTCCAGCTCTTGTTGTTTCTCCTAGGGGCGCGTGTGTGCCACTGGCCATGCTGTCAGGATGAATGGCCCAGCGGCCCGGAGCAGGTGCTGTAGAGACCCGAGCGGTAGAGCAGGAGCCCCACGCCAGGCTCCTGTCGGACAGCGATGCGCCTGCGCACGAGGCTGCAGCGAGCAGCTGGCCTCCACCTGCGGGGTCCCATTTACGCCGCGCCTTTCCAGTGCCTTCCACAGTGTACTTGTACTGTTGCACAAGGCGAGTGAGTGTAAATAATCCACACTGAGGTCATTCTCTGCAGGGGACACAGAGAGACTTGTTGAGGCACACGCAGCTGTGAGGAGACAGGACCCAGATGGGGCCCCGTGGCCTCCAGTAATGCCCCACCTTCCATGTCCCCTGTGAGAGCCAAAAGGGGGTGGACGAGGGACCTGGGCTCTGTGGCCATGTGACTCTTGGTAATAAAGGAACCATTTTCCTTGTGACCAGTATAATCCTGCCCTCCATCCAGGAGGATGGACAGCACCTCACCCTTTTCGCTACTCCATAATATTCCACTGAGACTAATGTTCCGGGCTTTGTGGAACTGTGTCGGAGCAATGTTCTAAAACTACTTGCCTTGACCCACGTGGTAATCAGCAGGCATGATGCCAGCCAGGCGAGGTGGCGTACGCCTATGGGAGGCTGAGGTCGGAGGGTTGCAAGTTCAAGCTTAGCCTGGGCAATTTAGTGACTTACCAAAACTCTGCCTCAAAATCTAATAAACTATGCCATGCCAGCCCCACCCGCAGGGCACACTGAGACTGCGATTGAGACTGGGTGTGGTGGCTCAGGCCTGTAATCCCAGCACTTGGCAGGCTGAAAACAGGAGGATCACTACGAGTCTGATCTATATAGTGAGACCCTGCAGACCCTGTGCTAAATACAAAAAAAAACAAAACAAAACAAAAACGCGCACAACAGAGGGGCGCTTCTGTCCAGATCCATGGCACACTGCCCGGAGTCTCCAGCTGAACACTGAGAGAAGATAGGCTCTGAGGGCTGCTCTTCGGCCGCCATAACTGACAAACACTCCTTCAGCTGAAACTTACCCAGTGCAAAGTGAGCTAGCACCAGGTGCAGCGGCACTCACCGTCGTTGCAGCTCCTTGGGAGGCGGAGGCAGGAGGAGCCCCAGTTCTAGGCCAGCCTGGGCAACTTAGCAACTTCGGGAGATTCTGTCTCAAAAAATCAAACATGAACACAAGACAGGCCCCGTAGGACGAGCCATCATCCCCATTCTGCTAGTGCCCCTCTTGCTGCCTGCCCCCAGCTCGGTGCCCAGATATCACCAGGTTCCTTCCAGTGATGTTTCTCGACATCTCCGTATCATCTGCATGTGGCTGAGGGATCCCACCCCCGCTGCACTGGGGCGGGGCAGGCAGATAGGATGTGAGCATTTCTGCTGAAAAGCCACGCCTGCAACCCACGTGGTCAGCCACTGAACGCTTCTAAGAAGTGACCTTGGCAACCCCGCAGCAGGGTGTGGAGGTGTGGGCCCTCCCTGGGGCACACAGGCTGTGGCCAGGACACATGTGGCTGTCACACAGTGGCACAGAGCGGGTGGAGGCCGGGCACTCTGCTCCCTTGGTGTCACCACAGTTGCATGGCTGAGCTGTCACGGCCAGCAGGGCTGCGTGGCTGCTGCCTGAACCTTCACTGCTCCAGGCCTTGATGGAGCGCTGGAGGATGCACCGGAGTGGCTCCTAGCTGGATTGAAAAATAAACAGACCCCTGCTTCTTTGTTCTTCCCCACCCCAGCCCCCCAGAGAGCAGAGGCCAGCAAAAGGGGGAGTGGCTGAAAGGTGCCAGCTCTCTGAGAAGGCCTCCGAAAGGGCAGACGGGCTCGCAGCCTCTGCCTCCATGGGTGACTAGGAAATCGGGCGGTTCCGGGGGTCTCCTGTTTGCACACACACGTGCACACTTATGTCCCCACCCGTCCTGCACACAGCTAAGTACACAGGGATTCTGGGATTGTCTTCCTTTTCATTTAGAGGTGAGCAAAAAAAGCAGGGAGCGCCAGGTGCAGTGGCGCGCACAGGTCATCTCAGTACTCTGGGAGGCTGAGGCAGGAGGAGCGCCAGTTTGAGCCCCCAGACCCTGTCTCAGAAAATAGAAAGGGCTGGGGTATAGCTCAGTGATGAAGCACCCCCAGGTTTGAGTCCTAGTACTAGCAAAATGAGCGTCAAAAGCTACATGAAAGTCCCACAACAGGCTGCTGCTGTATGTGGTAAGCTGAGTGGATCTGTTAAGTGCCAAGTGCAGGCAGGAAACTCACGTCACTGTGAGGCCTCTGGGGTGGGACCCCAGGACAGCACACACATGCTGGTGACATCCAGAGGGGGAGGCAGCTTCTCTTTTGCAGGAAGGCTGGAAAGTAGATCCCAAGGCTTCTCACAGAGCTACATTCCCAGCCTATTTGATTTCAAGACACGGTCTCACCAAGTTGCTCAGCCTGGGCGTCCACTTGGCAATCCTCCTGCCTCATCCTCCAGAGTGCTGGGATGACAGGCGGCTCTACCACGCCTGGCTGAGGGGTGGAGCTTCACACTGTCACTAGGAAACTGAGTCCTCCAGGTCTTGGCACTCAGGGCCTCATTCCCCTGGCTGTGGCTGGCGTGAGTGGCTGCCACCACTGTGAGAGCTCCTGCCCTGTGGCAGCTGGGGCCAGGGCTGGTGCTCAGCAGCCTGCAGCGTGCAGGATGCAGTCAGCGCATGCGCAGCCCTGGAGGAGGGGGACCCTGGGCCACCCCAGTCCTGTCCTCCTGTGCTGGGCCTGAGCCCCTCTGGACTCTGGGCCTCTTTGGCCTCTGCTGCCAGCTGAAGCCCAGAGCCGCCCAGAAAGCACCAGGCCAGGCGGGGCCACCTTTTGTGTCACTGGAAAAGCCTTGTCCATATGTGGAATAGCAAACATCTGTAAAGGAAGAGGGGCTGTGCTACTCATGGAGACCATAGGGACCTCTGGGCCACTGGGAAGTGGCCAGGCCACGTGAGCTTGGCCACCGGGGCTACGCAGGAAGTCAGCGGGGCAGGGCGGGGCCATGCTGACCTTAGGGGCATCATCCACACCGGAAGCGCGGAGGGGACCCTGGCAGGTGGCCTCTACTGCCCTTGGGCCTCTCTGCCCAGAGCCAGGAGGCCATGCGGGCCCACACACAGCCCTCCCGGCCTCTGCCCGTACCTGTCACCCCTTCCCTCCAGGGTTAATGACTTTGCCCCCACTCTGCAGCTCCCACCTCTGCCCTGGCCCCAGTGTACAGCCTGCAGAGAACTAGAACACAGGGATGGAAAAGCACCCAGATGTGACCAGGGAGGCTCGGTTCCAGACTATTTTGTTTTTCTTCTACTGGAATAGGCTGATGCTGCGGACTCTGAGCACGTGTTAGGGGCCCCAGAACCTGAAATGGAATAATACAAGTTTTAGAAGAAAACTTAGCCTTTACTTTCCTTTTTTTTTTTTTTTTTTTCCAGAACCAGGGATTGAACTCAGGCCCTTGCACTTGCCAGGCAAGTGCTTATTCTACTGAGCTATCTCCTGGCCCCCTCTTTCCCTATTCTGGGAGAAAAAAAAAAAAGTCAATATTCCAAATGGAGCAAGTGTAAAGAATAAGATCAAAAATAAATATAAATAAATATAAAAACTTAAAGCAATTAACCATGAGGAAGAATGTATGCAATGTGTTAATTATTGAAACTGTCCTACCAATTTGGTTTGAAAAAAAAAAATCTACAGAATAATAACCTCTTTGTTTCAAGAAAAAAAAAAAAACTTAAAAAGAATATAAGACTGGGTGTATTGGCCCACACGTGTAATCTCTTCATTTGGGAAACTGAGGCAAGAGGATTTGTTTGAAGGCAGCCTGCATTACATAGTGAGTTCAAGGCCAGTGTGCACTACAAAGTGAGACCCCATCTCAAATGAACAAACAAACAAATAAAATCCAGCCAGGCGTGGTGGTGCAGGCCTGTGATCCCAGCACTCTGGGAGGCCGAGGCAGGAGGACCCGAAGTCTGAGCCCAGTCTTGGACAATTTAGCAAAACCTACTTGAGAATTTAAAAATGTAAGTGTATTTCAGTGTGAAGGTCCTGGGTTAAATTACCAATATTTAAATAATAATAATAAAGTTGAGGGGCTGGGGAGATGGCTCAGTAGAATAAGTGCTTCCCTGGCAAGCACAAGGGCCTGAGTTCAATCCCTGGTTCTGCCGAAAAATAAAAATAAAAACCATGAATAATAAAGTTGATTCTCCCACATGCTGAAGGACCGCTAGAGCTAGGTCTGTGTCCGATTTGACTTCACTGGTCTCTCTCTCTCTCTCTCTCTCTCTCTCTGTCTCCCTCCCTCCCTCCCTCTCTCCCTCCCTCCTTCCCTCCCTCCTAGGACATAAAGCAGCGCTTCCTGGGAAAACAAAGGTATGTCACATTCTTTTTTCTTCCATGAACTTACCCACCTTTGTTTTGTAGAAAACAGGAAATAAATAAGCCACAGTACCTTTATTTTCCTGGTGCTGACCAGGCGCCCAAGGCCTGCGCGCGCTAGGGGAGACCCATGGGGAGGGTGTGTCCCCCTAAACACGCTCTGGGCTCAGAACTCAGAGTTGAGGGCCCGGGAGATGGCTCACTACGATAAGTGCTTGCCTGGCAAGTGCGGAGCCCTGAGTTCAATCCCCCGTACCACAAAAAAAAAATAATAATAATAATAACTTCAGAGTTGACACTTCAACCTGTGTACTGGCTCCAGCTTCAGGGGGAATCCCTGTCACTTTCTGTGATGAACATGACGTTGACCACTTGGGAAAAATGTTGTGCAGATGAAACCAGAATACAGCAGGAAAAAAAAAAAACCTGTTGAACCAGCACGGCGGGGCCCACCTGTGATCCCAGCAGCTGGGAGGCTGAGGCAGGAGGAGCCTTGTAAGCTTGACATGAACCTGGGCTCCAAAGTAAGCTCAAGGCCTGCCTGAATGGTATAGTGGGACCCTGTCTCAAAAAAAAAAAAAAAAAAAAAAAAAAAAAAGGAGAGAGGAAAGAAACCACACAGCCCCACACCTGACATCTAAGTTTGCATCTAACCGTCATTTGTGTATTTCTAGAAATCTACTGTCTCTTCCTTGTCAGCTGCCTGCGTGCACTTGCTTGGTGAGGCTTCCTAGCGTTCTGCTCGAACCCTCTTGATTTCTGTCAGGTCCATAGTAATGCTTTCTCTTATCCTCTGACTTCAGGTTTTTGTAGCTTATCATCTTTTGGGTTTTGGGTTTTTGTTTTTTTTTAATCAGCCTAGCTAAAGGTTATGAACCTTTTCAAAGAACCAACTTTTGGTTTCTTGTTTCTCTGTTCTCTGTTTCATCTCATCTCCCATTCTCATCTTTACAATTTCCTTCCTTTTTGTGTCTGAGTTTTGGTCGCCTGCCCTTCCCGGGTTCCCTCTGGGGTGCATTGGGCCGGGGTTGGAGCTTTCTGCCCTTCTCCCTGGAACGTCCTGGCGGCTGGACCCGCTCACCTTAGGTTTAATTGTGCTTTCGTTTCTTGGGCTCAGAGTATTTCTAACTTCCCTTGTGATTTCTTGGACCCACTAGTGGTCCAAGTGCTGTTTAATCTTTACCCACTGGGCTAGGGAGATGGCTCAGTGGAATAAGCGCTTCCCTGGCAAGCACAAGCGCCTGAGTTCAATCCCAGGTTCCACCAGAAAAGAAAAAAAAAATCTCGGGGCTGGTGAGATGGCTCAGTGGTCTAAAGCACCTACTTAGAACAAGCTTAGCAAAGCACAGGGACCGCGGTTCAATCCCCCCAGCACCACATGCCAGCCAGCCCCGCCCCCTGGTGGGCTAAGCTGGCCACACACACACACACACACACACACACACACACACACAAATAAATAAAATTTTAAAAAAAAATTTAAAAAAAAATCTCTATCCACCTCCTGATGGGCTTAGGAGCTTAGGAAGGACAAAGGAGTCCTGCGGATTACTCACCAGGGCCAGCGGCACCCAACTGCCATCCCCACACTCTCGGAGGCTGAGACAGGAGGATCAAAAATTTGGAGCCCAGCCCGGACAACTTAGCAAATTATCGAGACCCGTCTCAAAGTAAAAACTATAAAAGGCTTGGGGGCGGAGCTCTGTGTGAAGGACCCGAGTTCCATCCAAGTACCATAAAAACAAAGAGTGGGCTTCTCCCTCAGTTATCACTCCCTGCAGGGCCAGGTGGCAGGAGGTCTGAGCAGGTCCCTGACCTGACTCGACTCGCCTCTCCTTCCTCCCCTCACTGGCCACCAGCTGCAGCCAGCAGTGCCTGTGTGCGGAACTGCAGGGGACACTGTGTAGCCCAGGGACACATGGCCTGAGCCTGTGTCCTGTGGGGCTGGCTGGGTCCTGAAGGATAGGCCTGAAAGGACTGAGGCAGGAAGCTCCCATCCCCCATGCTGGCTTCATGGGCTCCCAGAAGCAAAACTACAAACTAGGCATGAGCCAGGTGTGGTGCTTTATGCCTGTTATCCCAGCACTTGGGAAGCTGAGGCAGGAGGATCACCATGAGTTCAAGGCCAGGCTGAACTACATAGGGAGACCCTGTCTCACAAAAAAAATAACAAAAAAAAAAAAAAAAGCCCTATTAGAATCTATCTTTAATTTTTCTTTTCTTTTTTTTCTTTTTTTCTTTTTTTGAGTCAAGCTCTCACTATGTAGTCTGGCCTGGCCTTGAACTTGCTGTGTAGCCAGGCTGACCTCCTCACATGTGTAGCAATCCTCCTGCCTCAGCCTCTCTGTTTAATTAAAAAAAAAACTTGTTACTTTATTTTATATGGCTACTTTGCATTAATTAGGGATTTGTTTTGTGGTACCCATGGCCTTCACGCTGATCTACCTCCCTGGCCCTTTGTACTTTAAATTTCGAGGCAGGGTCGCCCTCAGTTGCCCGAGAGGGGTGCCCACTTTCTGTCCTGCTGTCTCTGCCTTCCAGTACAGGGCCGTGCGCTTCGCCGGGGTAACTACATGCAAAAACAGGCTTTCCCAGGGGCAGAGCTTTCTATGGTCCCTTGAGTTTTTGGTGCTAAGAGCTGCTGTCTCTTCCTGCCCTCCCAGCACCTGCCGGGGGTGACAGCTCTGGAGCCAGGAAGGGACTTCGCCCCACTACACAGCTGCCCCCAAACCCCAGCACACCCTCTGTCCCCATCCTCTGACTTCTCCCTGGATGAGTACCAGGCCCTGCCCATCTCCTGCCCTGGGACCAGGGCAAGCATGGGGTGCCCGAGGGCCCCCAGCCTGGCTCTCCAGGACACACACGTGCTGTTGCTCGCGGGTGCCCAAACCCTGACTCTGGGTTCAGGTATCACCAAGCCAGGCCATGTGGGGGCCTGCAAAGGATTAAGCCCCCTACTGTCACCCTGCCTGCACAGTGTTGAAAAGCCCCAGTGATGACGTCAGCCAGCTACAGCCAGGCTGTCTAAGCCCTCTGACCAGGGCCCCACGCCACCCGGCCATCTGGCTGTGAGACACTGCCCGCCTCCCCTTGGTGTCCCCACCACCTCCTCTGCCACACCCCATGCCCGGATACCTCAGCAAATTGTCCTTGGGTCCATGCTGCAGCCCAGGCCCCACCCCCTGCCTAGATTCGTTCTCCCAGGAGCCCCCAGGAGCATATTTCATTGTCACTCTTTTACAGGTGGGGAAACTGAGGCGCTGACATGAAAAGACAGCACAGGGTGGGGTTGGGTTGGAGCTCTGGGCTCTACACTGACAGTGTATCTGGTGTCCTTGGGCTGCTCCAGCCATCCACCTGCCCTCTGGCTGAGGCCCCCAGAGCCCTCTAACACCCTTGTCGCATGCTGGGGGACAGTACCAGCAGTGGGAGCTGGCTGAGAAGGTGTGTGAGGTGGTGTGCTTAAAAAGAAGAGGAGGCCAGCCAGATAGCTCGGGATTAAAACACCTGCTTAGGCAGACACAGGGACCAGGGTTCAATCCCTGGCCTGCTGTGCCAGCCCTGCCCACAGGGAGCTATGAGACAGCGATTGAGACCGGGTGTGGTGGCGCACACCTGTAATCCCAGCACTCAGGAGGCTGAGGCAGGAGGATCCTTGTGAGTTGGAGACCAGCCTGGGCTACAAAGTGAGCTCAAGGCCAGCCTGAACTGTATAGTGAGACCCTGTCTCAAAAGACCAAAAAACAAAAAGTGAAGAGGGACCTCTTGTCCAGGGCTCATGACAGCCCCAACAGGGAAAACCAGGCATGAGGCGGGGAGAGGGAAAACAGGCACACACACAGCACAGTTCTCCCAGGCAGAGGGCTACTTAAAGAGGAGTGGCCCATGCTTGTCATCCCAGCTACCCAGGAGGCTGGGTCAGGAGGATCAAAAGTTCAAGACCAGCCTAGGCAACTTATCAAGACTTTGTCTCAAAATGAAAAATAGAAAGGGCTGAGGATAGAGCTCTACCACGCAAAGGCCCTGGTTTCCACGCAGGTACACAGGGAAAAAAGAAGAAAAGGAGGGAGGGAGGGAGGAAAAAGTGGTCTTTGCTCCTTCTGCCGCCACGCACGCAGGCACCGTGGCTAAACTGAAGGGAGGCTCTGGCCAGGCCTGACCACTCCGCGCCTTGGACGAGGACCTCCAGCCTGAAGGGCGGATGGAGATGCTGGTTCCGTGCCCAACAGACCTGAGATACTGGAGTCCCCGGCCTTGGGGGCACCTCAAAACAGCTTCCTTTGTCTAGCCAGTGAAGGTCACAGGGATGTGGTGGGTCCAGGGGGGGGGGGCACCTGCGGCCTCGCAGCTCCCAGGATCCCCCAAAACCCCAAGGCCCCGCCCTTGCATCCCCAGGAGCCCCTCCTGCACCCTACATACACACAGGGCGTTGACTATGGAACACCCAGGGCCTGCGTGTTGCGGTCCTTTCCCTGTGACAGCTGCTGGTGGCCTCTGTGCTTCCTGAGTGACCCAAACTCGGCTTTGTTTCCACATTAGCGAGAAAGGGCGTCATGGAATTTGGATGGGTGAGAAAAGGGGACGGTGGCCTGCACTAGGCCACGTGCTCCGGCACGTTGTCAGAGATCCTGCGACAGTCGTCAGAGCTCATCTTGCGCAGAGGCCACAGGGACCCCAGGCGGACACAAATGGAAGTCGTGTGCGCAGAGCTCCAGGCCCCCAGTGTCCCCAGTCACCGGCTGATGCTGGATGCTGGGGCTGGCTCCATGGGGGCTGCGGGGGCTCCTTTGGCCAGATGTTCTGTGGAAAGAAGCAGAATTCGACAGGTGACTCCAATGTGCCCACAGCCCGGGGTGCTTTTTTTTAAGACAGGGACTGACTGCATTGCTAGATTGCCCAGCCTGGGCTCAAATTTGAGCTCCTCCTGCCTCAGCCTTCTGATGGCAGGCCTACTGTGCGGGGTTGCAGCCACTGAGCCAGGTCCGAGGGCCCCA